GCTGATCCGTGTCGATCAAAATAAACAATTCTATTGGCTTTAGGTCACGTGATTGACACGGCTTTAGACGACCCCTATAAAAGGCAAAAGCTATTGTGATAATCTCATCTATCAAATTGATAGACAGGACGACCCAGATACGTCCCAAATCCTTAGTTGATACGTTATCTACTATATACCTTGTCGCTATTTCCAAAATCGTGTGATCATTCATCACATAGTTTTGGACGTCCCAAATAGTTTTGGTAATACCGTTACAGTGCGCAAAATTGTTGATGTAACCTATTTTTTTCAACGCTATTCTTAAGTTGGATTTAGAAACTCATAGATAATGAAATTTATCAAATGGACGAAATTTTCTGACGGTCTAGAATTACGCCGGAATTTTTGTCTTATCGTTATCAAACGGAAGAAAATTCCGATAATTTCAATAAAATTTGTGCACTGTATCGCTACTAGTTGACTAGTTGATATTGGAATAATAGACTAATTAACCTCCTGTTCGATTAAGTAAATTATTGATAAAATACGCTAAATTGATTAGTTAACTTGCAAACATATGTACACACATACATTCTATTTATTTGCATAGTGTGATTTAATATAATACATAAGATTTGGATCACATGCATGATTCAAAGGGATTTTCTTCAACTACTGTTTTTAGTAAATGACAATATCAACATGAAATGCTAAGCAGGGGAATTTCCGTTTTAGTTCTTTTCTTGTTTTTCAAGCATCACAAGCATCACGTCTTTAAATATTTTGTAGAGCAATTGTCAACACACGCATTGCACGAAGAATCTCCGCATAAACATAAGAATCTCTGTATTATTAACATTATTCTGTACGCACTGAATATACAGAGTTATCATTAATCCACAGATCTCTTAATATTGTGTTAATCAGATACCTTTTATTCTTACTTATAACGTTCATAAGACTGTTTAGTTGGTATTACACAAAATAGTTGCGTATCATACTATCAGGTTTCACCAAATATTACTTATCTTTTACCAATAATTAATTAATTAATTAAAATTTCGAAACGTACATATTCGTTCAACGAATGGTTTCTGTATAATGATTTCTTTTCACAATAATGTTTGAATATTAAAGGAGAAGCGTTGCGTCAATAAACTGAATGAACTAAATATATAATTGGAATTTGAATTATTTAAAATTATGCTTTTTTTTGATTTCTTGTTTAATCATGAAATGTTTAATTATGAAAACCTTGGAAAATCACAAATATAATCTGAAATTAATAATTTATTTAATTTATTTTTAGAATACTTTATTTACATTTTACACGGAAAAATTGGAATGCTCAATTGAGGTAACTGTTGACGTATTATCTGTATGATCTAATATTTTTTAATTTTCTTAATTTTCTTAATTTTCTTAATTTTCTTAATTTTCTTAATCTGTAATATTATAAAACACCTGAACCTTTATCTCAATTTAATTTCGTCATATCACAGTATAAAAGTATAAAAAAAAAAAAGCTTTGATTATTACAATGTTTTTGCTTCGTATAAACACCACACACCGATTAATGCAAATATTGTTGGATTTATCGTTTATTTTGGCACATTGAATCATTTATTATGAATATTCGAATAGCGTTACAATTCTCACTTTGTTAAAATATTATTTTAGAAATCCCATTGTTTTGCTAAAGTATTAAACTATTAATTTATTCGGTATCATCGAATTTTTTTGGTAATCTACGAAAAGAATTTTGAAGTTACCGGCAATTATTTTATTTTTTTATTTTATTTTATTTTATTTTATTTCATTGACTTCATTTTATAGAATAACTACTATTGAAGTATCAATTATTAACTATTTAAGCATGAAAAATTTTTGTCACATTATAGATAATAATCTTTCGCTTCCCTAATAATGAATAACGATCAAAAACATATATAAAGATACCCATCTTTAAACATTGATTTCGGAAGGTTAAAATATTGTGCTTGGTTTGGATTAATTTATTTTGTCGATTTCTTTAACACTTACACCTTCCCTTCCAAAAATAATCCCGTTTTTTTTCTTTTGTTTTCTAACAAAATAAGTATAATTATAAACTTTGAAATAAATTCATGTCAAACGTGCCTTATTATACATTTGAAAAACGTGCTGATGCACCACTCTCGCGTTTTGTTCGTTTATCTCCTCTTTATCGTTCAAAAAATATGATAATGATCGAGAAGATAATCGACAATTATTTTAATGAGGAAACTATTACCAAGATTCAACAGAACACGGTTATTCCACTTTATGAATTGGTCACACCTATTGAAAATCTTAGGACTCATAAAATACCACGTCCACAAAATAGTTTTGTCATATACAGAAGGAACATTCAAGCTAAAATTGCTTCATCTTTTGCGTCCGACAATTCTATTGGAAAATTGGATAACGTTTCTAAATTTGCCGGTAAACAGTGGAAAAAAGAATCAAAAGAGATTAGAGAATTATATAGTCTCATCGCTGATTGTGCCAAAAAAGTTCATGATTTTCTTTATCCCGGTTACGTTTACCATCCAAGAAGAAATGCTACTACAAATATTCCGATGGGGATAATTTCAAATCACCATGGCAATATCCCACAGGTCGTCCGTTGGAAAAACAAATTAGTTACTAATCGTCGTCAAAATTACCCTCCTACTTCAACACCTTCATCATTTAAACATATCGTTTCCCGGTCAAAACAAATTTCTGATTCATTTAGTATCACAATACCTTCTTCATTACATTATTCAATGTCTTCTTGCTACTATAACGACGTACCTTCGCAACATCAACCATCACAACCGTCTAATTCATCACCTAATTCTCAGTTTTCTTGTACACATTCTCAATCTCGAACAAACTTATCTTCTGAAATGTGTAATAATACGATTCCTCCACTTTCACAATTAGCATTACTGTTTCCACCGCCTCAAAAAATAGAAAAATGTACTGATTCATTGTTGCCTCTGACCTCCTATGATCGCAAAGTTTGTCAACTTTTAAACACACACAACAAATACTTTTAATAACCCGCCAAAAAATGACAAAATACGATGGGCAATTATAATCATTCATATTTCATACTTATGCTCGAAATAAGAAACAGTTCACCGTTATTTAGTGACGAAAGTCTTTTTTCTTGCTAAATGCTGTATTTCCTTTATTTATTTATTCATTTTATTTATTTTTATTTTTTCATTTTTCTTTTCTTTCTGGAAATGAAATCCAGTTGATTTTCACATTTGCATTATATATATTTGAAAAAAATTAATTTTTAAAAATTAATGAATTGATTGTAGTTTATTCTGTTGAAACGGGATATCATATTTGTCTGTCTAGTTTTTTTTTTTTTTTTTAATTCACGCATGTAAGGATTTTAAGAATAATTCCTCATAGATAATGTTATCAAGCTGGTCACAAATAACAATATTGTTTGTAGGAGATAATTGATTAAAGCCTTTCCTTATATGCATGTATATGCACATATAAGCTTTTATATATATGCATATCTTTATAAATAAGTAAAAAAAAAAAGGTTGAAATGACTTTTGTATATATATGCTGCTGTTGCTTGAATATTGATTAAATCTATATTCGTCAAGTGTAAACAAATCCATCAAGCAAGGTAAATCTTACATATTATATAACTCACGCAACAAGGGCATTCAAAAATTCTGTGCTTAGAGTGTTTAGTGCTTAGTTGGTGACGTAGACAAAATTTTTTAAAGTTCATTACTGTTAGGGTTAGCGTTTCGTATAAAGTTAAAAGCGGTTATATAAAAATCGCACCAGGAAAAACTTTTTGTTAGTGCACTAAAGGTGGTTTACTATGCAGATTCTTGAGAAAGAAGCAAAACGAACGTGTTTTGATCGTGCCTGATTCTAGAAATCTGATTTGTAGATCATGAATGCTTTTATTTCAATAAACTGTTACACGAACTATTGCAACCAACGAAATATTCAATAAAACGGCTTTTTTAATCCCCATATAGATAAATAAAGAACAAATATAAGTAAAATGACTATGCTAAGCTGCAAAAGAAAGCACTATCACTGTTTGTTGAATGTTCGGGTATTTTCGGGTAATGAACTATCGGTTGAATAATGGGTAAGAAGCAAATTTTCAGGAAATGGCCTTGTGACTTACTTTCAATCTATAATTAAACGTGAAGTACTTAATAATTGACCCAAAGTAAGTTTAAAAGATCGTTTTTATGATAACTCACTTTGTATATAAATTTATTCTTCATTATGATTGGCTGATGTTGGGTTAAACCAATGGGGTGAAACTATAGAAATTAAATAATGACGATCTAAAATTTGATTGGCTGTTATATTAAAATTCACCCATTCACTAAGTGTTTCACCAGTTCACCAGCATCTATAGGTATACTATATATAACTCACGCAGGAAAATAAACTTAGCATACATCTTACCTTTTATATTGCTCATGCGGACGTGAAATAAGCTTAACATGTTATATACAGTATAACGCTCCATAAAACAAATCGTACTAGCATATATTTTTGGTGATTTTTGTCAAGTTTACTAATAATAATTTTAAATAATATCGGCCTATAATTATAAAATTTATCATGCGAACTTTAAAACCATTCCTGAACACGTGCAATGCATTACATCACTGTCAATACTTCACATTTGGCATGTTTTCAATGTTTCATTGATAAGCATGAATTAACCCCGATTTATGTCGGATAAGAATTTAACATTAATACTCAAGAAATCGAAAAACAAAGAACATTACCTTATATAAAAGATGATTTTCTGATGACACATTAATGAAATGAATTGCAGATGGCAAACTTTCTAAATTATACGGTATGATCACGAATCCGTAAAGGTGTCACACAATAAAAAGTAATATTTACTATAATTGTTCCTTCTTCATTTAGAAAAAATAATTCTCTTGTACGTACGTAATATCTTTGTATGTAGTCCATGCACACAAAGCCAATTAACATTATCAAACGAATTAGATCCATTACGAATTAGATCCATTTTATCAGTTCTAACATGCCAATGACGTACGAATATTTTAATTTTTCCTTTTTTGAATATTGTTTTTTTTGCTAAAATACTGAAATATCAAAATAATCCGTGCGGTTCTTCGGTTCTTCTCAAATATTTTTTGTCCTTTTTTGTATAATGATTGAACAACTCAGACCTTGCGTCATTATTATTCGGACACTTTAATGGGTTTCGCTTATCACTACGTATTATACTCTATATACTTACGTATATACTTACGTGCGTACATATAACCGGTTTCATAAATTATTGGTTAAAGGACAGTTAATTTGATTGCTAATTATGTAATTTGATAGTTTACGTTACGTCAGACAAATATTTCAACTTTCCGAGGAATATTCCTAGTTTGACTTACATGCGTACTCCAGATAAAATTTACATATTAGTAAGTTTTAATGTTTTTTTAATATGAGCTGTAACAATAACAATTTGAAACAAATATTTCGTGTGGGCTGGATGTTTATTATACGTGAAGTTTCTATAATTAATGTCACAAAGTATTTATCTATATAATATACGTATTAATTAAAACTACTAAGCTTCACTGATCAAACAGGGATTATTTTTGTAGCTTTCTTTGGAGAATAATTACACTGTTTATATAATATCTTTGATTGTGCGATTCAATTACGCAATCTCTATCAACAAACAATTCGCATGTAAGAAAATTCTATCTTCACTCGGATTAAAAATTTCCAATAGCTATAGTGGCAATTAAATAACTAAATTAATAGTATTAGCAATGAGTTTGGACTAGTGAATTGACCCGTCTAATATTCTTCACCCGGGTCACCCGGCGGAGCCACCCGGGTGAAAACGGGTCAATCTAAAAAGAGACCACCCGGGTCACTCGTAGGTCACCATAGGTCACCCGACAGGAGCATAGTTCTAATTTGAAATACATACCCGAATGAAAAGCAGAACGTCCAGAATTATGATCTGGTAATTGCAAAATTACGTGTGCGGCAAATCTTATATTATGAGAATTATTCGGGCCCTAAAATTAGGGCTAAAAATTATGAATTGCCCTAGCGTTGCCACTCTAAAAAATTTCGCGCAAAAATCAAAAGCAATTTACAAAATCGTTCATAACTCTGTATTTTTACTTGTTAAACCCACCTTTTATGCACTAACAAAAGTTTTTTTCTTGTGAAATTTTTGGTTATAGTAGCCTAACTTAATAGCAAAATCTAACCTTAATATTACACAGTTATATGAAATAATTACATTACATACAAATTACAGTCAGACCTCTCTAAGTACACACCTTCGGGACCATAGCAAACAATTTCAAAAATGTACATTTAGAGAGGGTATGCATTTAGAGAGGTCAAAATCTATAATAGTAATATTACTTGGGACCAAGCAGAGGCGTGCATTTAGAGAGATTTTACATATAGCATGCATTTAGAGAAGGTGCATTTAGAGAGATTTTACATATAATTTATTCTAATTGTCGCACAAAAAAGAATCTTATTTTAAATTACATACACTTAAATATTAAAGACATAATTGTAATAGGTTCTTTTCTATATTGCCTAACATATTTTTTTTAACATCTTTTTACATATCATGGATAAAAATTTCGGTATATGAAAGCGTTAGGTGCTAACATAAGAAATGTTTATATAGATTTTGCCAAGTTAAATAATTTATAAATCTACAAAAATTGCAGATTTTGCCGAATTTAGAAAAAGTTTAAATATAACTCGATTTTGCCAAAATTATGCGAATACTTATGCATTTGATATCGATGAATTATTTGAATTTTTCAGTTCATTTAAGGTTTTAATAATTAAAGACATTTCTGGACGAACACTGGGATCTTCGTCCCAACATTTCTTGTATAGTTCGACATATTGTAGGGGCGTGTTTTTTGCTGGAATTTCTCTAAATCCATCCAATACTTTCAAAACAATTTCCGGCGACGTCAGTTGTTTGAATGGTGGTTGACCGCTTGAGATCTCCCAAAGAATAACTCCAAGACTGAAAATGTCGGATTTTCTATCATATTTTAAGTCTTTGAAACATTGGGGATCTATATATGCTGGCATTCCTTTAATTTCTGTGCACAAGGGTGTTGAAACTTCATTAATCTGCTCCGACATACCAAAATCTATGATCTTAATTTGCTTATTATAGACGAGAATGTTTTTGGAGTTCTACCAAAAAAATGATAAATTGTTAATTTAAGTAATTGAAATCATACGTAAGTAAAATAGATATATGCTTACTAAGTCACCATGAACTATATTTTTAGTATGTAAAAACAAAAGTCCTTGTGCAGTTTCCTCAGCCATACGAAATTTATCAATCAATTGTAGTTTTTTGAAATTTTCTCTTAAATAATCCCGTAAATCATTATCAGCGTACTGTAAAACCATAAAATAATGTTCTTTTGAAGGATCTATTTTGTGATAGTTTATTGAATTAGTAGTATACGTTAGCCAGAATTGAATATTTTAACCAGGTACTCCAGGGGGTTCGTCAAGCACCTCTCTCAACACGATTGTTTTGAAATTCATGGTGTGTTTAAAATTTGGCCAATCAGTGTAACTCTTGAAAAAATGCCTTTTTTTTCATGAACTCGCTTGATCGGTTAAGCTATTTACCACGAAAAATTGATCAACATAATGAAGGTACGTCGATTTTTTTTATAGCAAATTTTCCGAAATTCAAATAGTAAAAACACACGTGTTTTTATGTAATTTAACTCATCAGGTAAAATTCTAGGAAGCCGTTCAGTAGCGACATACCTTTTGTAATTCCATAGAAGGTAATGATGTTGGGGTGGCCCTGAGCTTTTCGCAAAATTTCGACCTTGTATGAAATTTAAATAATTAGTGATAAGATACAATTAGGAATAATACTAGGTTTAGATACTATGTTAGAGGTCCTACTATGTTAGGTCGGCTAAAGCAGAGTTAATTTCAATATATGATCTACATACTACATAAATTACATTCTTGATATCTA